ATCACTCAAGGTCACTGCTGCAACGTGAGGGACAAGAGTTTACAGCTCTGAATATCCAGTCAATATTTCTAATGAACTTAGACTGAAATGCTGAATCGGATTAGTTGCCGTGCTGTCACGCTTGATAAAATAATTTTCACTAACTGGCAACAGCAGACAATTTTTAGTGAATTATATTGATAAGCAAAAGCATTCAGCATGTGATGCCAGTAAATATAGAACACAGACTGTTGCCATCAACAACAACAACAACAAGATTCCATTTATAGAGCGCTTTTTACGTCGGGAGGACGTCCCAAGGCGCTGGAAAAACAAGTGGAGGAACATCATGTGACAAAGGTTATTTACAGCTTTGTATCAAGTCCTTGTTGATGCTGCTGTGGTTGCAAGGCCAGAGTTAGCACTTTCAGTAGGTTTGTCAAAATAACATGGGGAATATAACCGTACAACCTTCGGAATATGCTAGATCCATGAATGAGACGTTTGTAGGACACTGCCATGCACAATTGGCTGTCGCGTTTCGCCCACAAAATGCTCAGTCAATTAACTTCACAATATATTCTGTGAAGCACTTTGAGACATCTCAACGATTCAAAATTCAAGGATTATTATTATTATCATGAGTACCTCAAAACAGCAAAGTCTATGTGATAAGTGATTTTTATCCTCTTTTCCCCTTAACTCCTGATCCTACTCAGCTTTCCCACCCCAGCTGAGGTGCTCCTACATGAAGTGATTTGAGATGGCCTCCTGACTCCTAATATGAAAGATGCTGCATAAACGTAAATTGTTGTGGTAGATCTGATAAATCACCAATATTGGAATGTGAATAAGACCAGGGAAGAGCATACAACAAGAAAAGACCATTTGACCCTTCAACCCTTTCCTTCCAGCATTAATCCACATTTACCCTGTTATTGACACTGCCAGCCACTCCACTGTCTGGCTTAATAAATGAAAGATGAATTGATAGTGTGTTAACAGCAGTTACATATTTCAGCACAAAGCACTTTGGGGATTAGTTGTATAACCATATGGTGGCCTATTCTGTTCTCCGGCCTTTAAAAAAGCACTATTTATATCTATTTTGAATTTAATTAAAACCTTGCACTTGTGTAGCTTTAAAAAAAGGTCATCTGGTTATCATAAAGGAAACTTCGATGAAGAAGACCTTTAGGCTATTTGATCGTGTCCTTTCAGAACACTAGCATTACAGTTGCTTTTTAGCACAATATCAAGCCATTTCTCATTATTGAATCCATTGTTTGGGACTAACCATCCTTCTTGATAACCAATTTCAGTTGTTGATTACCCTCTGGACAACGAAATACTTCTTGCATACCCCTGACCTCCTGTCCAGCTTCCATGGGAAATCTGACCGGGTTGTGCTGGGTTTACCTGTTGTGCATCTTATATACTTCACAAGGTTCCTTCTGCGCCTTCTCTGTTTGAGGTTTGAGAGCCCGAGCTAACCCCTCTCACCAATGGAACATCAGCCTCTTTGCTCTCCTCCTTGGTTTAGCTACAACCACTGATCTAGTCACCAAAATATTTTACACAGAATTTAAAAAAGGAAGGTTTGCTAACACGTGGTCACAAGAGAGATTTGGATAAAGAAGGCCCTTCAGACCGTTTTATCTCATCGTTTCAAAACCCAACCGTTTCCGCATCACAGCAGTTTCATAAACTGTGGATTGTTTTCGGTCTCATTTTCAGGCAGTCGAAGACTAATTTTTCAAGGGTCCATTGGTTAGGTATAATGTTGAGGTGGAGAGAGAGAGAAACGGCTTAAGCTGAAGCGATTTTTAGTTTTAAATTATTAATTTACTTTTAGAGTAATATGAAACTACCAAAATTGAGTTCTGAAATTTGAGTTGCTTTAATATTGTGTTACGATTTCTTTCAGCATCATGATGATGCATGAGCTAAAAATGTGCCTTTTTATACCACTGTTGGGAGGGGGAACAGGACCTGCATTGTGCAGTCGGGGGCCGAAGGGAACGCTGACACCAGCTGCCATAGTTAAGGGTTTGTTTAATTCACGTGACCCTGATCTCCTTCTCAATGTCATAACCCCTTCACTGAGACAACATACAGAAGCCAGAAAGATTGCGGTATGAATCAGTATTTCAGCTTTCATAAAAGTTTTGATTATGATTTTAGTTCTGCATTTTATGATTGTTTTTGCTTTCTAGAATATAATGAAACCGCTGTTTATCTTTTTTTTTTAAAAAGCTGCACGTTTGTGAACAAACTGGCGTTTTCATTACACTCGATTAACTTGTTTCCCATCTATCAGAGTCTAACATCATGAGACCAACGATCTGTCTGAAAGCTCTCGTAAGGGTTGTTATTTCACTACAAACCTCTGCATCTTTGACACAATAATTATACCGCTGACTAACAGGGACTGTTCTTGTGTTGTGTTGTGGATGGGTCTATATGTTCCATTGGAATCAGACTTGAAATTAATAAGTAAATCCCACTCAGGAATAAGTCCTGATCTGAAATTCACAATATAAATATTGGTAAATGGTAAACATTCTTGGTTTGTGAGTCATTCTTTTTACTGAGGATTTGATCGCTCAGATGAAGAGTTTCTTTTAAATTGCTTCTGTTTTTCTGCTGTGTGTTGGTAAGAGAACAGGAACAGTCAGTGATCTTAGCATTGCTCACTTCCTGTTTTGTTTCCAAACTCTGAGAGGTGGAAATAGATGGAATGCTAATTTCATAGATTTCCATGACCAAAGAGGGTTTCAGGCCAGCCTTCCTTGAAAGTCAGTTTGTGAAGAGCAGCTACTGAGTTGTCAGTGCTAATGGATTCATAGGAACTAACGGATCAGGTGGTTTATCCCTGACATTGAGATTGGCAAGAGAAGAGGAAAAGTAACGCACTGTTGTAAGTTGCTTCATCTGAAGCTTTATTGACTTCCACAGCTCAGTGTTGCTGGTTACATGTGAAATGAATTAAACAGAGTTGCTTTCAAGAAAGATTAAATGTAAACTACTACTTTTGGGAGCAGTTAAAAAAGCTGGTGAAGGGTGTGCAGAAGGAAAGGATTTGTATGAAGTGATATTTTATTATGTATTCCTTCATCTTTAAAGTTTAAAGTACTTGATGAACATATGAGGGGGAAGGGAATAGAGGAACATAGGTGATGGAAATTGGTTTGGAGAGTCGTATGGAGTATAAATGCTGACTTGTTGGCCCGAATGGCCTGTTTCCGTGCTGTAACTATATTCTGCACGACAGACCAGGATTTGCGGTGGTAGTTAGCACGAGAATACTCCATTCAGTATCTAACCTTTGTTTAGTCTTGGGCTGGTTATGACCTCATCGTTCCAGAATTCCAACGCTTCCCGTTATAGCTTCAAATTGGTTCTGAAATCAGTCCGGTGTCCGGGCATCAACCACCTTTTTTCTTGTAACTGGTGCCAGCTGTGATTATCCTCTGTAAAGAAATATGTAAAGAACTAAAGAAATGTGTACCCTGCCAGTTATCACAGTGGATGCCAACTATTTCTGTTTTAAGCTCTGCGCAAACATGAGTATTTTTCCTTTTTGTGACTGAATCAGATTTTTAGATGGAAAGATTATCAAAAACCTGGAGTTCCATATTCAGATCATTCATTTGAACTCGATTAATTTTTATTTTGGCTTCAGCAAATAGTTCTTTAGCTTCAGGGCAGAGAAATATGCAATTGCTCTGTTGAGAAATTGGTGTAAAAAGAAGTCCAAACCACTTGAGATTTATAGTAACTGCCAATGTTTAGCCACATAGCCAATCACAACGTGAACGACATAGCCAATCATGTTTGTTTCATATCATGGCTAAAACACATTAACTTTTAAAGCTATTGCAACTCTTGCAGGCATTCCTCCCTTTTCCCCAGCTAAGCATTTAAACTCTGACGGAGACATTGTTGGAGAAGGGAACCATTCTAAATCCTTGACTGTATTGCATAAGGCAATACTCTGTCCATAATCATTGCCAAAATTCCCGATTAAGGATTGCAGACCCTGAATATATTTTGTTGGCTTTGCACCTTTTTGGACAGAAGTGTCCAAAAAATTGATTTTATTCTTCCAGCCAGATTTTCCCAAACCCTGTATATGCAGTATGAAAATATTGTTACAGCAAATATCCAAACAGGAAATTGACAGAAAACAGCACAGCAGTTATGTGTTCGGAAGCTTTATTGAGGCAAGAACATATTTCCAGATAAGAGAGCTCAACAAATGGCAGACTTTATCAAGCTCAAAGGGTTTCAATGTTAACAAGAACCAAAAGTTAAAGAATTGTTAAAAGTTCTGCTGACGGATCATTGGATTTTTAACGTAGAATGAGACCAGCCATCAGTCAGCACTGCTGCTGAGCTCCTCAAACTGCACAGGAAGCCAGCAAGCACTTCACAAGGTCTCCAGGGATGGTGGGAGACAATGATGATGATAATAATAATAATAATAATAATAATAAATGTGCTAAGTGCAGGAAGCTGCCCATTAACAGTCTGAACCAGAAGTATGCTGCACATCCCATGTTTCACCTTCTTACATTCAGCCATCTGAGGCTGGCTGGCTAGCGAGATCTGCTCTGGCTGTTCCTAGTTTTAAAATCTGCATAGATTAACCTCAGAGCTGCCTCTCCAGTCCTCCAGCTGTGCTGTGAATAATGATTCAACTTGGATTTGGGTCTCGCTTCTTTGAAGGAGGGAAAGCAAAAGAGACCAAGTTGATGCGATCAAGTGAGATCTGTAGGATAACAACATTCCGAAAAAACAAATCTAGTGGTCAAGAAGCAACCTCATTGTGTGGAATGAATTGCTTTCAAGGAACGTGAAAGATTATTGCAAAGGTAGATATTTAACATTGTTATCACTGGGGAAGCTTTGGTGCAGGGAGTCTAGTTGCTGTACATACACTGTGTGCTGGCCTCACCGTTGGAAGTGAAGGATTTTCCATTCAGTATATTTAACCTGCGACTCTTTTCGCTTAACAGATGCTTGACCCAAAGTCAGATGACCCGTCCGAAATGCCATCTGAGGAAAAGGCTGCCATCTGTGATCTCCAGCCAACTGATGGAGCAGCTGCTGAAAATGACAAGACTCCAGAGGAACAGACAGACCCTGATGAGCAAAGAGAGAGTCATGAAGAACTGAATGATGTCAAATCTCAGAACTTTCGAGTACCGTTCATCATACCAGAGGTCAGACTGGACAAGAGCTTTAGCCAAAGTGCTGAGGCTTTGCCCAATTTTCACATTGACGCTGCAGATGAGGATGAAGAGGAAGATGATGAAGATGAGGACGATGACAGTGACGATAGTTATGTGGATAGAAATGACTCGAAGCGTCGCAGTATGATTGAAACATCAGCTTGTGAGAAACATTGCACTCTGACCGTCCAGAACTCACTGAGACGCCGCACACACAGTGAGGGCAGCCTCCTGCAGGAGCCCAAGACACAGTGCTTCACATCTGACAATGCTCTCAACTGCTCGGGCTGTGATGGACAGAACATGAAGAGCGACTGGGCTCCACCTTCTCCGAAGACCCTCAAAAAAGAGATTGCGAACGTCAGAAATGGTGGTTCCATGCATCAGTTATGCCTCATCTTCTCTGGCCACAAGGTGAGTGCTCCAAACTTTTCTTTCTTTTGATTTTATGAAATTGCTTTTAACAACTGATTGAACATATTTGCATGTACACTTGGAAAGCTAAGAAACCGTAATCTATCAGTGACACCATGATATAGATATTTAGTGATATTGCAGTCAAACCCAATGGTTCGCAGTCTAAAAGATTGCCTTCACATTAGGGAGTTCCTCCCAGGGTCCTCGTCGACAATCCCCCAAATGAAATCAGTAACTGCAGGGTTTGCCTACAAAATACACAGGAACTACCCTATACAGTAAAATCCTGTGAAGCCTTTTGAGACATCTTCCTGATATGAACGGTGTTGTATCATTAATATTATGTATTATGAAACATAATACTTTGCCTTCAAATTTCATTGAACCTGCAGTCCTGATAATTCTTAGAGCCATTCTGGAGTATTTTTCACTTTTATGATGAAACCCAACAGTGTAATTATTAGAAAGCAACACAAAAATGATTGTTTTTGATAGATGGTGGCATTAAAACGATTTCAACACACATGAAACAGCCTGAGGCAAGATAATAATAAAACCACTCAGAATATTCTCCAGCTCTATATCACAGTACAATCTTGTGCAGAATATTGACCACCAGATGAATTGCATTGAAGGGTCTGCTGGAACGTGTGCAGTGCAATAACATTGATAAATGAATACAGCGATGTTTGAATTCCTTATCGATTTGCTGTTGTGTTCTCTTATGTGCCAGACATCAGCTGTGCCTGTGTGTGTGTGGTGTGTGTGTGTGTGGGACTCGCAATTTCTCTCATCTGCAGGTTTTGTTCGACCCTGAGCTGTCCTTTCTCCCTCACATCCGCACCACAACTGGCACCGCCTTCCATCACCTCCGGAATATCGCCAGATTACGGCACTACCTCACCCCTCACGCCGCTGAAACCCTGGTTCACGCCTTTGTCACCTCAAGGCTGGACTATGGGAACTCTCTCCTCGCCGGCCTTCCCGCCACCTCCCTCCACAAGCTGCAGGTCATTCAGAACTCTGCAGCTCGTGTACTGTCCCGCACCAGGCTTCGCGATCACATCACTCCCACCCTCGCTCGCCTCCACTGGCTCCCCATCCCCCAGAGGATTGATTTCAAGATCCTCATCCTCACCTACAAGGCCATTCACGGCCTTGCTCCCTCCTACCTCTCCAACCTACTATCCCCTACCTACCTGCCCGTACCCTCCGTTCCTCTGGCTCCGGTCTGCTCCACGTCCCCCGCCCCAACCGCCCTACTATCGGTGGTCGGGCCTTCAGCCTCTCAGCCCCCAGGCTCTGGAACTCCATCCCCCAGTGCCTTCGCCTTGCTTCCTCCCTTTCCTCCTTCAAGGCCGGTCTCAAAACCTTTCTCTTTGACCGTGCCTTCAGCTCCCCTCTCGACTCTCTTCCTCCTCCTCGCTCTCTCCCTTCCCTCCCCTCACCCTGACCATTTCCCCCCTCCTCTCTCCCTCCCTTCCCTCTCCACACCCTGACCATGTCCCCCCTGCTCGGGTCATGACCCAACTGTGCAGCGCCTTGGGACGTCCTCCTGACGTGAAAGGCGCTCTATAAATGGAATCTTGTTGTTGTTGTTGTTGTTGTAGTTAGTTGGTACTACTCTTGCCTAGGCCAGTTGAACTTCAACAGTCTAGACTAATGCTTCAATGCAATGCTTGGGGAGAGCTGCATTGTTGGAGATGACATCCTTTGGATAAGACATTAAATCGAGGTCCTGTCTTACCTGTTCAGATGGATGTTAAAGATCCCATGGCACTATTGAACAAGAACAATTTTACATTTATACAATGCTTTTCACACCAGGAGGATATCTCACAGAATCAAATAGCACCTCGAGTTGGAGGTATTCGAAAAGAGAGGAGAGTTTCAACAATCTCCAAATGATCATATTAGTCATTCATTTCTTTGCTGTGTTCCCATTTGGCTGACTTCTCGTGGAGTCCTCGGTGGTTAGAGCACTCGCTTTGCAAGCGAGAAACCTGAGTTCAATTCCAGGCAGAGGGCGAAACCTTGAGCAAGTTTCCTTACTCCACACCCAATAATAATCCCTCCAAAACTAAAAACAATAATTAAATTGGTCATTTTCAATCTACGACTGTTTGTGCGACATTGCTGTGCGCAATTGGCTGCCACGTTCGCCCACAAATATACAGTTAATTCACTTTACAGTGTGTTCTGTGAAGCGCTTTGGGATGTCCTCCCGACGTGAAAAGCGCTATATCAAATGCAAGGATTATTATTCTTATTCTTTGCTTACACGTAGTGTCACTGCACTTTATAGTAATTCCTATGAAGTGCTTTGACACATGTGGAAACCCATTATCGTGTGTAATATTATGCAAACCAGACTGAGAGTTCTACGCAATCCGCAAGCTAACTCCACATAGACATTCCCGTGTGTGGAATGGAACCCTTATGCTTTCTCTGAAAGTACACAGTCCGTTTACCTAAACCCTGACAGTATTAGGCAATGGTTAGCAAGAATCGAGGCTTAGGAATGAATAATTCCTGGGAGTTTGACACTTTATATACTTCATATACTTTCACTTTATACTAGAATAGATCACTTTCCTTTTCTACACTTTAAAAATAATGAAGTACCGTATTACATATTTAATATCAGATAGATGCTGGAAAGTGCCTGATTTGAAAGGCGCTCTATATAAATACAATTTGTTGTTGAAAAATCTGGTAGCAAATTTGATGTTCCCTGGATCCAGACTTTAAACTTTATCTGTATATCTAGTTGTACCAGTACATTTGTAAAGAAACATGATACTGATTAGCTTAAGTGACAATACTACGAAATCTACAGATATATGATTCAAGACTTTTTCTGGCAAGTCTCAATACTTAGCCGTCATCTGATATGCCAATGTGTAGAATTTCTTGTAAAGTTTGCGTATAAAATAAATGCTGTTTCCAGTAAAATACTTTTAAGTACTTGGTTTTGTACCAGACAAATAGGAGTATGAGCAGTCTTAAACGCAATGTTTTCTCAACTAGAAAAATCTTTTGTTACAATAGTTTGTAATTGTTAAAGAAAATGATATCTGTTGCTGAGGCCATAGCAAACAATGAAACTCACAACTGTTTAGTACGATGGTCTATAGGTTTGAGGGTTAATTGTGATCATCAGAGTAATTAGAATACTAATGGCTATTGACTTTGTCATCCGCATTGTTACATCTCTTATTGACATTGTTGTGGATGTTCTGCAGGCCCCAGAGTTGTACAATAACTCTGAGCACTAATTAATTGGATGCTATAATAACAGGACTAGTGCCCTGATTATGAGGAGTGATAAAAAATTTGAACTGGATTAGAGAGGACAAAAGCATCACAATCATTTGAAAGTGTTTGACTGCACAAGGGTTTTGCCAGTGTTATCATCCTTTTGCTTTTCCAGAAGGACTCTAGAACCAATAAATAATATAATAATCATTGGATTGACTGAACACCTTATTACATAAATATCTCAAAGCGCTTCAGAGTTTTCTGTAAAGTGTAGTGACTGTTTGTAGGAGAACACAGTAGCCAATTTGCGCACAGCAATATTCCACAAACGGCCATCAAGCGAATGTTGGTACCAGAATCTTTAACTTGTACAGCCAGGCACTTGGGCTCTTTTGGACTGTGTATTGTCTACATACTCTCTGTTTTTGGGGCAGAAAATTTGGAAGGTGTTCAGGTGACCCAACCTTTTTTAAATTCAAATGCTTTTTTTATAGAAGCGGATTTAGTTGTGGATTGCAGCACAATGTAATGTGTTTGTTATGGGTGTGGCCTCATTAACACAGCATCATTTATCAAATGCTCATTGTTTTTACACTCAGCTGCTTCTATGAATAACATTAGAATACATTGGAATAAACAGCACAGAAACAGGCCATTTGGCCCAACTGGTCTATGCCGGTGTTTATGCTCCACATAAGCCTCTTCCTGCCCTTCCTCAACTAAGCGTATCAACAGAACCTTCTATTCCTTTCTCCCTCATGTACCTATCTAGCTTTCCCTTAAATACATGTATATATTTGCATAACTCCTTGTTGGCAAGTTCCACATTCCCACTACTCTCTGTGTGAAGAAATTTCTTCTAACTTCCCTATTTGATCTATTGGTGACTATTTTATATTGATGGCCCCTGGTTTTGGTCTCCCTCACAGGTGGAAACATTTTCCCTATGTCGGCCCTATCAAAACCTTTCATCATTTTAAAGACCTCTATCAGGTCACCCCTTACACTCCTCTTTTCAAGAGAAAAGAATCCAAGTATGTTCAGCCTTTCCTGATAGGTATAACCTCTCAGTTCTGGGATCATCCTCGTGAATCTCCTTTGCACCCTTTCCAGTGCCTCTACATCCCTTCTATAATGTGGGGACCAGAACTGCACACAGTATTCTAAGGTTCTAGAGAAGTTTACCATAACTTCTCTGCTTTTAATTTCTATCCCTCTAGAAATGAACCCCAATGCCTGGTTTGCCTTCTTTATGGCCTTATTAACCTGTGTTGCTACTTTTAGTGAATTGTGTATGTGTACCCCTAGATCCCTTTGCTCCTCTACCCCATTTAGGTTTTTATTTTCCAGGATGTATGTGACTTCCTTATTCCTACTACCAATATGTACCACCTCACACTTTTCTACATTGAAATGTATTTGCCATTTAAATGCCCATTCAGCAAGTTTATTAATGACATAACATAACATGTAGGAGCAGGAGTAGGCCATTCGGCCCTTCAAGCCCACCCCGACATTCAATCATGGCTGATCTTCTAATCTAACTCCAGCTAATAACCTGACCCTGCCTTACGCTGTCGCGGTCTGTGAGCTTATCTTGTTCATTCCTTAGTGGCCCTGTTTCTATTTTGATTTTTCTTTTATTAGAGGGAGTTCCCCCTTGTTGGGTTGCTTACATACTGGGTAAGAAAGGAGTCCTATACACATTGAAGGAACTCCATTCCCTTATTCACTTT